CTCCACGCCACTTTTAGAGGGGAAAAACACCCTCTATCTAAAGGCTGGGTTATGTGGTAGTTCGGTTTGGTGGGTAAAGCAATAGTACCTATCTGCTGCTTAGCAAGCATGGCAATTGTCTCCGGACAATAGTGGGCGGAATGCCCATCCAGCATGAGAATTATTGGTCTGGCACTGGGATTGAGAGAAGAACGAAATGATTGAACCCACTGTCGAAAGATTTCCCTTTATCACCCATTATGAGACAGACTGTAGACTGTGCCAGGTATATACTTCCCCATTGTCATAGATTATTTAGGGACAATCGATCAAAAATTATTAGTGGAGGTATTGCATACACAGAAGCACTGTGCATGGCCATGACGGTAATTTGTTGACTTGCCAACCAATGATTAAAAATTGGGGTTCTTAGAGCCAAGCCTTGTCAACCACTTTGAGACTCTTGGGTTCGGGTTACCCCAGTTTCGTCCACAATTGAAAATGCGTTGATGGTTGTGCAGTATGCCAGGGATCCTAGGCAGTATTTCAGCATATGAAGTAGTACCCTCAGTTACAATTCGGTAACATTGCTGTGCCATTGCAGTGGAACAGGCAACACGTAACGTAGCTGAGGGGGTATGTGTTTAAACTGTGATATCTTTTTAATTTACTATTCTCCTCTCATTATGCCTATCACTACGATAGGACTTAGTTGGCACCCCCTGATTAAATATCATGGTGTTAGGTTGTTAGGTATTTTTGGTTAATATACCCTGGTTCGCTCCTACATACTAAGTGCGGGTTCCTAGGTGTTTGTAAATGTAGTTAACGTATTGAAGTGTAGTGAAGGCAGGCAGGAGTTGACTTCGGTGCGCCATGTGTAACTTAGGCCTTTCGCTGACTTCAGTGAATTGTTCGACTAGGTATTAATGAATTCCCCGACTGATGAGCTGACACCATCCCTATATCTTTGTTGTTATATATACGGCTCTGTAATAGAGGTTGTCTTGCATGTATACTTAGCTCAAGGGAAACTTGCTTATAAACAATAAAACAAAGATATAGGGATGGTGTCATGTAGCTTTGTGCAACTTTGCTGTGTAATGACCCCTTGTTTCTTCCTTTTTGGTGCTTCAAGCCATCCCTATATCCCCCTTTCATTTTGAAGAAATGATTTTTCCACTTGTACTATTACATCTGAGCAAGGACACTTTCAATGTTCCAAAGGTTACCCGCAGGTTCCACTGTCATACACATGTAGAACCTCTAGAAATGCAATTTCAATGTAAGTGTACTGCCCTTTCAATGCTTATATACACAGGCGTAGTAGTTGTAGAGAGAAAGAGAAATAACAACTTCTGCCAGGAGTCTAACTCAGGCCCAGTGTGCTGGCTAGCAGGCTACCTATACTACTCCTAATTGAAAGTTGGTCCTTCATTGCCTCTGGCAAAACCTTCAAACCTGTCTGAGAGTTGTGGCCTTGCTACCTATCTGGCTCAGTGCTTAGTGTGCAGGTTTCCCAGTACAGTGGACCTGAGTTCGACTCCTGACAGATGTTGGTTCTTTCTACTATGCCTGTGTCAGCTGACTATGATAATCTTCCCAGGTGAACAAAGGATCTACCATACAACCTGACACAATCACCCTTTCATGGCTCCTGAACTAATGTTGTATACTGGAAATACAGGTTGATTCCTGATGGGGTTCTTATAATTATGGCCTGTGACAGGGTGGGTGTTTACATGAGGTTGCCATAGGCAATGGCCACTGGCAGTACTTAGAGTACGTAGAGGGAAAGGGGAGGACAAGCTTAAGCTCCTCCAAGATAGCTCCTTCTTTCTGTCTTAACACATCCTCAGCTGCCTATCTAACAGAAAACTCCAACCAGCAGCATTGATTCCGCATAGACGCATACTTCGCATAAACAATTTGCATTATTGAGCTGTGCTTGACAAGCAAAATACATCAAATTTCACCAATTATAGTACGATTAATCAATGGGGGAATTCACAGCTCCCTCTATAGCATACAGTTTGCAGTTCTTCATTCAGTATAGTCGCGTTAACGAATTTCGATATATCCCCTGTTTGGAACGATCTCGGTGGTCCGGCCGTGGTCTGGTGTCCTGGTTACAGTCATCTCAAACCTTCCACGGACTCCACTTGTTACGTCCCTCCGACTGATGTCGAAACAGAATCGCTTCTGGCACGCGTCAAAGAGGAGTTTGTAGAGTCCGCGTCCTTCTTCATCGACGCCATCGCCCTGACTGAGCTCTTGGGTTGTATCAACTTCAAACACACCTGTGAAGGAGATTGGAAGTGCTCACGTGTGAATTGCGCAACTCGCTCTCTCCTTTTGTGTGTGTCAATTAGCACAACACAAGGATCTTGTAATTATAGTGACCTGCACTGGTTGTTAAATTGAAGAAGATGTCGAAGGGGAAAGTGATGGGGCAACTTATTGCTGGCCTTGATACGTAGAGACACACTTCCACTGTTTCAGCAGTAGAGCTCATAGTGTAGACAGTCCTCTCCAGACCTATTCCAGCAACTACAAAAAGAGGAAGAGGCGGACAAGGAATGAAGATTAAGAGCAGTATACAATAGAAGAAAACAAACTGTGTGTAACATGAGCGTACTGTCGTCATCCATTATCTCAATGATTCCATAATTCTGAGTGTTGCTGATCTGAATGGCTGAATGATCGTCCTTCAGTTCGATCTGCACACAGAGCGACTCGGGCAACTCCGCTCCAGGAAAGTCCACCACTACCAGCTGAGCACACGCCTTGTTCCGGACAGGATCATATCTCACATCTACCTGTGCCGTACTAAAGTCTTCAGGACGAGCTGCAGGAATAGAATGAGAGGCAACAGTAAACATCGTTTCTTCTACAGCCACTTACTTGCACTCTCGGGGTTAAATCTGAACCGTATATAAAAAGGGGAAGGCAATAGATTTAAGAGGATGTCCACTGACGACAGCACAAACACTCGCTCTACCAACATTCTCCCGTACTATCTGGTAGAGAGACCTGAGGCGGACCATCGCATCTAGACAAACAAACAATGTTGATGATATTGTGAGTGGAATAGAAACCTCTTACTGTCGTTGTCATAGATGGTGATGGTCGCTGTACTGCTGTCATAGCTGACAGAGTTCACACTCTGAGAAATCCTAACTAAAATGGTCTCATTTCATTTCCACAACCTGGTCCTCTGTGATTTGTATCATCATACACTGCCTGTTTCTGCATTTAGGTATGGTTAGGTATGACTCCAGACCAGAATAGTCTTCTCCTTCGTCTGTTGGGAAACAGTCAGTCAACATGAACAGTAGAAAACAGCATAATATGCTATATACCTGCAGTTCCTCTGATATCAAAAGTTATGTTGAAATCATATTCAATGCGACAGCCTGTGATGGCAGACTCCACGATAGCACAGAGTTCGACAGATCTTCCCTCAGTATTCACCGTAACTAGTGGATCCAGTCTCACTGTTGCCCCTGAAATTACCAGCAGATTGTGTGTAGCAAAAACCAGATAACAATGTGTAGCTAACATCATACCGTCATTATCATTGATATAAATGGTCGTAGACATTCGTCCAAGCTGAACTCTATCGTCCAGGTCTGCAGTCCTTCCCAAAGTGACATTGAAGCACTCTCTCTCTTCCACAATATTGTCATCTGTGATGTTGAAATAGACACACTGTCGGGAACTTCTTGGCTGGAATATCACACCATGAGACTCGCTGTCAAAATCTGATGGTGTGCCAGTGCCTGAGGAGAGGGAAAACATCATTAAGTTTGACGCCATCGCTGCCATTTACAGGTCGGTTTAGCTACTATCCAATTTTGGAAATCCTTCGTTACACAGGAAGTATGCAGGTGTATAATATCCGCACCGGAACGTCCGGCCCCGCGAGACTTACATAGCCTCCAAGTTCTCTTACGTCATCCGTCTTCAGTCCCGTGGCTAAACCGTACATACTTATATACCCGTACTGCGTAATACTTGCCACGCCTTCTTGAGCACTCTTATCTTCCGTATTTTTTCGATTCTTTCCCGTATATGGAGTGCGATTTCTGTAAAAATATGGGAAAATCCGTATACTTGGAGGCACACTGGACTTAGTCTGGTGCCCAGACCCTTCACAAAATATAAGCGCACGCTCGTGAGCGCTGTGGCGCATGCATTTACGCGCGTGCTCTTGACGTAGCTGACCACTTATGAGTCATGTCGAGTCATTTTCGCCGACCTCTTATGATTTTTGAAGGCATATCGAGTCATTCTCGCCGAGTTTATGAGGCGAGGATCACGTGAGATAGTCTACCGACGCTCTCAGAGTAACATGTTGAACGATGCTCAGGAGTGTCGGTAGTCGAACGATGCTCAGGACGGCCTCAGATGGAGACAGCATTGTTTTTGCGTACGAAGGGCCAGACCGTAGTTTTGTGTGCGTCGTTGCCGACATACACTGACCGATTTTGGCATCAGTATGGCTATAGGACGACAAGTTCCTTGAAAAGCAGTTGCTCTATTGTTCGGTCATTTGGCATCCACACTTGTTGATGGATATAAAGTGTCTGGAACTCGTTCAAAGAAGAGCAACAAAATTTGTCATGAAGGGTACTGCAATGGATTATAAAAATCGTCTGATGTATTTACATCTCTTACCGCTAATGATGGAGTTGGAAATTGCTGATATTATCTTTCTTATCAAGTCCCTATAATTCCCTTCCGAACACTTCAATATACTCAATTATGTCAAATTTTGTGACAACCCTACACGCTCATCCTCTCATTTCAAGCTAAGGCACTCCTTTTGTAAAAACCAGTCTGAGATAAATTTTTACTTCAATCGTATTCCCCGCCTTTGGAATTCTCTACCAGCATTTGACATTAATCTCCCTATTGCTACCGTCAAGTCTAGACTGCGAAACTTCTTTTGGATTCATTTCATCTCACACTTTGATTCTGATAATGTATGCTCCTATCACTATGTCTGTCCATGCCAAAAATGCTCTAAGCTTCCCATCTCAATGCATTTCACTAGTTTTATCTAAATGTTATCCATGTTACGTCCTATTCTGTGTAATTTTATTTTTATTTTTATGGCTGCTGGCTTGATGCCTTCAGTCCTTCAACACAGTTGTCACCACCTCCCATGTTATCTATCACACTTCTTTATGGCATCACCTCCTACCTGTGTTGTAAAGCTGAAATAATAATAATAATAATAGCCCAGAGAAGAGACCACACCCAAGACCACAAGACCGCTAGTCACTACGGTAGATGATGGAGACCACAAGTAAACGCCTACTCATAGCCCACCCCATCAATTACCGGCACCGCACATGCCTAATGCGCCGGGAGTTTGTACTTCAGTGCTTTTCATGTGGTCTTACCTTCTCCGATTCTTGGTGAACTGGTACATCTTACAACAGACTAGAACTTGTTGGGTAGTGGTTTTTGGTTTAAATTGGCATTAGGCAGAGTGATGTCCTTTTACCTTGGATAGTTTGAGTTTATGATGATACTTGTTGGGATCACACATTTTTATTTGCAGGGGCACTCTGCTATATAATACAAGTGGAAAAATCATTTCTTCAAAATGAAAGGGGGATATAGGGATGGCTTGAAGCACCAAAAAGGAAGAAACAAGGGGTCATTACACAGCAAAGTTGCACAAAGCTACATGACACCATCCCTATATCTTTGTTTGATATTGTTAGAATTAAACTTTGCTTATAAACAATAAAACAAAGATATAGGGATGGTGTCATGTAGCTTTGTGCAACTTTGCTGTGTAATGACCCCTTGTTTCTTCCTTTTTGGTGCTTCAAGCCATCCCTATATCCCCCTTTCATTTTGAAGAAATGATTTTTCCACTTGTTTCCACTATTTTTAACAGCTTCTGGCAACACTGCATTTATTGTTACAGTCACTCTGATGTTCATGGCTATGTTGTAGATAGGCTACCATAGACAAATTGAAAGTAGTAGCTAATGGGCTGCTAGATACCATGTATTGTCTTCAACAAGGATGTAATTAGATTATTGCACATGGTTGTGGTTTCATTGGCAGGCTTTGGTAATCAGGCTACAACCTGGGGGGGACAAACAATGAAGGCCCATTTGACTGAGTGCCCCGCAAGGCTCGCGTAACACCGCGCAGACTCTGGCAAGTTGCTCTTCGTGCATATCAACAGCAAGATAGCCAGTTGGAAATGTGCACACTTACTTACAGAAGGTACTGGAGGCTGACAGTTCCTCTGCAGGTCTGCCAACTCGCCCGGTAGAATACGTTCGCAAGCACATTGGACAACGCCCCTGCCTGGCGCATGCGCGCGGATCACTGATGCTGAGTAAGCAGCAAATGGCGTTGTTCAGGTCGACCAGGGAAGAGCTCCATGATCTACCGTAGTGACTAGCGGCAAGAAAGAAACGATCGCTTGATGTCCGTGCACACCTCCGGCGAAATTGGAGACCTTCAGTGAAAAAATCAGTGCTTGAACTGGTACTGGTAAGGAGATAGCGGGTTTAAAGAAGAAGAAGAAGAAGATGAAGAATATGATGACACGAAAATCGTGAAATCGCGTATGAGCGAATTCTCGCGTGGACGACTGAAGGTGCGTATGAGCTCTTGGGGGACATGTATAGGTAGATATGGGCCCGTAGACTATTGCTAGTATGTTTTGAAGGCCTAGGAAGTGATTCTCACCAAGTTTTTAGTCGTTTTGAACGCGGATCACGTGAGATTTCACCCGTATCATCCCTATATAGAGAGTCTACCGACTCTCTAATTATGAAGATGATTTGATTGTCCTAGCTTCATGTGCATCTGCTCTTACACATATAAAATGGCATGTGAGCAGTTTCTCGCCTATAAAATATATACCATTGTCATTAATGGACTTCCATGTAGCTATATTATAGAAATGGGCATGTGAGTTGTTGGTTGTGTATTTAAGGCATTCTTTGCTGAGTGTTGCAGCATTTTGTACTCAGATCACGTGAGATTCGCATGTGCCATCCCTAAACTGTTGTGTTTCTGTTTCATTACCACATCCATTCGATAATGTGAGGGTGCTTATAATCTGTGTGGCATTCTTCCAAACAAAAGCTTAACTTTATCAACTGCTAGAAGTACAGGACCAGTACAGCCCTGTTTTTTGGAGCTGGGTTTTGTACACCAATATTTTGCCTGTTGGTGGTCTGCCTGGCAGTGACCCCACCTGCATGCAGTATTTTAAATCTGTCTTAAAATATATAATACAGACAGACAAATTAATGCACTATGAAAGAGTGTTTAGTTGTCGTCCATCGCTCCAGGATTGACCTTTACAATGCTGACAGAGTGCACAACAATAGGCCCAAATGCACTTTCTTCTTCCTCCTCAATCTCATCATCAAATTCATCACTCTCATTCAGAGTAGAGAACCTGAGGTCCATCTCCTTCCCCTCGAAGATGACTGGAAGCTCTGGAATCCGTACAACACGATTGAAGTCACTCTCTGCTTCAGACAAGGTTCTGCTGCCATAGAAACTCAGAGAGGCTGGAAGCAGAAGGAAAAACACAATGGACATTACAGTTATGGCACAATGTTTCTGTCAATAAAATGGGAAAAAATTTAATTCAGTTGCATTTTTGGCGACTAAACACTTGTACTGTTTTATGGTGACAGTGGGTCATAGCCAGATTAAGAACAGTGCTTTCCCACATGTTTGTGTGTGACAGGGTTGTTCGCATTGCATTTTTGTATTGCAACTGTTCACTATAGAAATATGCGGGTTTGTCAATAGCTATTTTGCATTTTTCACATACGTGTCCTTGAAGAACTTGATGATGAAGTCCTTGATCCGCGCAATGTGCTTGAGAGTGTTCCAAACTAAATAATATG